TATCGGAATTAAATTGGCTGTTTAGAGTCTCGTTCGTTATCGGAATTAACCAGACGCGAACCTTGTTGGTGAGAGCCTTGGTGAAGTCGTCTTTGACCTGGGTCAGGGGGACCATGTCGTGCGGACGTTTCGGGCCGCTGATGCTCGGCACGACCGTACTTAGGTCTAATTAAAAATCAACAGTCACAAAATACAACTACAAAATATAACGGTCAGAAATAAATAAATAAAAAAATAGTACTAAAGAAGTAGTAAAAATTAAGGAAACAGAAATTACTGACCCAGTTCGACAACGGTGGTGAAAGTCGGGTCTTCGTCGGGTTTGGTGTAATCACGGAACATGCCCGTGGCTTTCAGGTAGGCTTCCACCACGGCCAATTTGCGCGACGTTCGTCCTGCCGATACAATCATGCGGTTATTATTGCACATTTATATTTAAATACACCGTAATTAAATTATTTTTCAGAATTTAAAAAAAATTTTAAATGATCTGTTTTAATTTTAATATTTTAAACAGAGTACGCAACAAAATGTTTTTATTTAAATTTTCAATATTTTTCATGTACGTAAAATAATAACATTCTCCACCACTGCTTCATAAAATTTCTGCATTTTTTAAATCAAAAGGCAAAAAATCATAAAAAATGCCCACGAATACCGGTTAATAATATGCATTACCGGTGTTTATTGGCTTTTCGGATAAATATTTATTTAAAAAAAACTGTGTAATTTATTTTATGCTGCATAACAAAATATCTAATCACAAGCCCGCTGTGGTCTTGTACGAAGCATTTGCCATTTTGAGAACGGGGACGCGTTCCACTGTTCTACGACTTTCTATGCCAATTAAGCCAGTGCATTAGCCACCCAAATAGCAATACGTAATTGCAAGCGCTGGTACACTACTTAATAGTTAAAAATTAAACATTAAAAAAAAACAAAGCCATTAGTACAGAAATGTTTACCGGTCTGTCGGAGATAGTCGAGCGTCTTGTTATCCACCGGGAAGAAGCCGCAGGTGGCGCCGTACTCCGGCGCCATATTGCTGATGGTGGCGCGGTCGGCGATGCTCAGTGCGGCGCACCCGGCCCCGAAGAACTCCACGAATTTGTTCACCACGCCCAATTTGCGCAGAATCTATTTGACAAGATTACCGTGAATTTTTGACTGCATGTGAACAGAAAAATTCACGTACCGCGGTGATGGTGAGGACCAGATCCGTGCTGGTGGTCACTTCCGGCAGCCGGCCGGTCAGCTTGAAACCCACCACTCCGGGACCATGCTGATGGCCTGGCCCAGCATCACGGCCTCCGCTTCGATGCCGCCGACGCTGCCATTAATTACGCAAAATTAATATACAATTTAATTAATCAAAATCAATTAAATTAATTTAATTTATCAAATTAAAACACATTAAATATGCTACTCGTAGGTACTTAATTCTCCTGTTATTTCCATGAATACAGAATTTCGTTAAAAGGCCTGTAAAATCGAAAACCAATCAATGTGCGGGGAAAATCTAATAAAATTCGTTAAAAATTTTGTTTCAATGCACGGTCAATTCAAATAGCAAAAAAACGCCAAGCGCAGGTAAAGGAGGCTACGTACCCCATCCCAGGACGCCGAGACCGTTGATCATGGTGGTGTGGGAGTCGGTGCCGACGACGGTGTCAGGTAGAGCAGACCGCTGTCCGCTTCGAAGACGACCCGCGCCAAATACTCCAAATTCACCTGGTGGACGATGCCGGAGCCGGGCGGCACGATCAGCATGTTCTGGAAGGCCTTCGCGCCCCACTAAACACCATTCACCGTGAATTATTCAAAACACATAAACAGTAGTAGTAACAATACAGCCTTGTATTTATGAGAAAACTATTCGATTATTTTCTAGCACTTATCTTCTGCCGGTGATTCTTTTCTAAAAGTATTCCTAATTTTAAGGTATTCTCCTTTTAATAACGCTTTTGAAAAAATTATTTTCGCTGCACCATGTACTGAGAAACAATTAAACTAATTTTTAAAAAATTATATTAACTGTTTAGTTTGTTTTTTTTGTTTACTTTAAACCTAAATCGGTCTACCTTAAGAAATTGGAAGCGCTCGGCGTTGCGCTCATATTCAGCTTCTCGTTAATCTCCAGCGCTTCCGGTCTGTAGGAAAAGCAACACGTTGGTGACAAAGGGACAGTGGCATGAGAATGTAATCATACGTGCGCGACGCGTCCACGACGACGCTGTGGTCGATGACGAGATCGACGGGGTAGATGGGGTTGATTTTGGTGGCATCGCCGCCTAACTGCTCCACGGCGTTACGCATCGCCGCCAAATCCACCACGACCGGCACTCCGCTGGAAAAAAAACAGCCTCTCAGTTAGCATCATGTCCATATCACAGGTATAAAATAAAACACAATCCATCAAACAAAAATCTTCAAACCAAACAAAAAATTCAAAATAGTCATAATATGCAAATAATTCACATACGATTTTAATAGGCAGCAGTTTAAACTGCCAAACAATCGCACACCGCAAAGGAAATATATATATTATATACCATCCACAGTGCAGCCACTGCACTACGAAAAGCATTCAATTCTCTAGTTCGAATGACACAAATTCGAATCAATCAGAATCCGCAAAACAGAGCAAAATCAAATTAAACGAAGGAGAAAAATAATTTCAAAATCACAAAAAACAATGTAATAAAACTTTTATAAAAATAACTTAAAAAACTTGCAATTTTGCACAATAATCGGACAAATGCAAATTGCAAATAATTGCAAAATAATTAATAAAATTTGCAAATAATAATAATAATTATAATAATAATTGCAAATAATTCCAGAAGGAACACAAATGCTGAAAATAACAACATGAAAATATTCCGAAATAATCATAATTGACAATAATCCCGAAGGGTGAAATACGAGGCAAGAATGCGGCGCACTCACGTCAGATCCTGGAGGATGACGCGGGCGGCCTTGAAGGCCACCTCGCCGTCGGGATGCCGGTGGACGTCCGCCCACTGCAGGATGCTCTCCACGTCGCTCTTGCGCACATGGAAGCCGTCGCAGTTGCGCACCGCCGACTCCAGCAGCACGCGGATGCTGTACGGCAGACGATCTGCCGGGAAAAATCGCCAATTTATAATGGACATTTATCCAAATTTTATTAATTTACTTAATTTCTGAACTTTATTAGATTCAAATCATAAAAATTAAAACACAAAATTTAATTACTTAGTTTGACAATAAAAAGTTTAAATTTACCTAATTTTCAGCTCTATTAGATTAAATTCACAAAATTAAAACACAAAATTTAATCACTTAACTTAGTTTTAATAATTTACTTAATTTCTGAACTTTATTAGATTAAATTTATAAAAATTAAAAACACAAAAAATTTAACTACTTAGCTTGACAATTTAACTAAAGTTTAATAATTTACCTAATTTCTCAGGGGCTCTATTAGATTAAATTCACAAAATTAAAACACAAAATTTAATCACTTAACTTAGTTTTAATAATTTACTTAATTCTAAACCTTATTAGATTAAATTCACAAAAATTAAAAACACAAAATTATTTACTTCGTTTGAGAATTTAACTAAATTTTAATAATTTACTTAATTTTTGAACTTGTTAGATTAAATTCAGAAAAGCCAAAAAAATGCCAAATTAAAAAAGCCAAAATTTAATTACTTAGTTTGAGAATTTGTAGATTATTTACTTTCATGCTTTTATTATTTTCTATTCTACTTACTGCTGTTATCCGTTGCACAATTTCTTCGACACAGCCCAAGAAAGCAAATTAACAATATGCAGGGCGTTTTCGGTTTTCCGATAAATTTAGCAGGTTAATTAAAAAATGTGTTTTTTTTCTTAATTTAATTTTATTAATTAATTATTCTGCTTACTAGAACAGCTAGTGACAAAACGCCTTTGACGCTTTTTTTGAAGGAGACGCTCGCCACTGTTCTACAATTTGCTATAAAAATGTCACGTCTTTCTGTTCTCCATTTTTTCCAGCACAAATTAATTAATTAATTTTCACAATTTAATACTAAGTAAACCAGATGTAAAATCGGCTACGATTAATTCAACTAGTCAAGCAGGACAAAATACACGAACCACGACACACTGGAATTTGGAAAAAGAGGAAGAAAAAATCCACACAAATCTTGAGCCAGTACTAGTAGTAATTCTTTACCGTACAAAACACGATTCTCTCCCTCAAAAAGTCGATGCAGATCGAAAAACTGGTGCTGCGTGCCGGCTACCTCCAGCGGGGAGATGCAGCTGATGTAGGGATTTTCCGCCGGGATATGCATCCTCAATAATACACGGGAGAAGCGCGGGATAAATCAGGAAGAAGACGATAGCCGCACGAAAACCACGACACTGCCTTCAAAATCGGCCAAATCAGCCAGCGTTAACGCGTTTAGTTACCGCCTTCACCGTCCACGCTCGAGTCACCAGCGTGCGAGCAAAGTCCGCGCCGGCATCGAGGGATAAGAATGCAGATAAATCACGTTAAGGCTGCGGGCGATAACGATTTTTAAACGGAAAGAGAACCTGCTATCAAAATGGCAACATTCGGTTGATTTTCTGATTGTGATTTTTGATTTATTTCCGCTTCCGTACAAGACTGCAGTCAGCAGGTTGGTGCAAGCGTGCACGGTGCGGGCGCGCAGGCGTGCATGGGCGTTTATTGCACCATACGGCCGTGCATCGTTGCGACCGTAAACAAAATTCTGCATTTTTCCTGATCAGAAAAATCAAAATTCCAACCACACATTTTCTGTGTTTTTAAGTTTCTCCCGTTATTTTCCTGTTTGTTAATTTTTCGCAAACTGGAAGTAGATTATTTCGAACGTATACATTATGGTCATCGTAATTTTGTCGTTTTTATCTGAGTACGAAGCGTTGCAGACCGTTTATCACGGTTTTTCCTGTGTGTTGTAATTCGTGTTTGAACGCGTTTTGTCAGCACGTGAAGCTCTGCCTTGAGTCTTCGTTTGCGCTGTTCTTTTGGATTAACTGGAGGAGTGGTTGATCGGGAGTGATTATGCCGCTCATCACGGCGGGTGCTGGTGGCAGTCAGAAGCGGGCAGCGGACCAGCGGGACGCGGAGGCGGGCAGTAGTCGCGGGAAGCGTCAGCGGACGTTCAAGGAGAACCACACGCTGGACAGCGACGAGGAGGACGCCGATATGGACAACCTGGGGGCGGCCCCCGCCGAGAAGGCTCCCCCGACGGATTATGCTGTTCTCCATGATGACGATATCGAAGGTACGTACGCGGTGCTGATCATCCAGTGACTTTTGAAGATTTTCGAACAAGCAGCATATTTTCGTCGCAATTACATTTTTCGTCTCTTGAATCTTTCTTTAGGATGCTTTTCATACCTCAGCCGGGGTTAAATAAATAACAAAAATTAGCAGAATATTTACAGAAATATTATTTACTTGAATAACTTTGTTTTTGCACGTTGTTTGTTTGGTTAAATAATCAGATTTTAAAAATAGAAATCGTAGCAAATTCTACGAAATTAACAGAAAGTAAGTAATAATAGAAGTACTGATAAATAGGCAGGAAAAAATCGAAAAATGTACAGAAAATATTAGTTGATTAGTAGAAGTGGAGAGCAGAATAAGGAGATAAAAATCTGAAAATATTTAATTTAAAATCAGTGCAGCAAAAATTGCAAATTTACTAGAACTAATTCGACACGGTCAATAAGAAATCCGTTGAAATGGAAATAATTGTGTAGGACAGGAAGAAGGCAGCATGAAGGTGCAGGAAGGCATCCGCATCACGCCCTTCAACGTCCAGGAGGAATTAGAAGAGGGCGAATTCGACACGGAGGGCAACTTCCACTTCAGCAAATCGAAAGAGATCAGCGACGCCTGGCTGGACAACCTGGACGCCTACACCGACGAGGACTACGAGGCGCTGATGCAGCGCAAACAGGCCGAGCTGGCCGCGCAGGAAGCCGCCGCCGGGCCCGCCCCCTCCGACACCCAACTGTACCAGACCCTCCTGACCCACCTCCGGCCCGGGGAGAGCGTGGCCAAGGCGCTGCGTCGTCTGGGCGACGGGTTGAAGACGACGAAACGCTACGGGAAGGCGGCGCGGAAGGAGGGCAGTGAGGCGCTGCGCGGGGAGCTGGAGGCGCTGACGGCGGCGGCCGATCAGCTGCTGGGCAAGGGGAATCTGGAGGTGTACCAGGATACGTACGAGGCGGTCAAGTTCAAGCTGGAGAAGGCCGAGAAGAAGATGGCGGGGATGCGGGTGGACGAGGAGCTGGATATGTTCGGGGAGGCGTTCGATGCCGGGAAGGTGGGCACGGGAGGGACGGGGAGTGCGCCGCTGGCCACGGCGGAAAGCGGTGAGAATTATGATTTTTTGTACATTTTTTTCCTCTTTTAATTTTTATTGTGGGAATTTTTTTCTGATTCTCGTTGTTGATGATTCTGTTTAATAATTTTATTGTTTATACATGTTTATTTTCCCTTCGATCTTTGCTCCTACAAATTTTTTCCAATTTTTATATTGGGGAGAAATTATTTTATTGTGCTTTTTGGCCTTTTTTGTTCGTCTTTTGGGTTTAATTTCGATTGTGGGTTTAATTCTTGAAATCAAAGTTTCCGCTTGTATTCGTTTCCGTTTCCGCTTCTTTATTCTACGATCCAAAGATCGTAGAATTTTTTCATCCTTTTTTTCTCGAAAGCTTCGTTTATTTAATTTCTTTGTTTAACTTAACTTAAATTCTTCGCTTTGGATTTTGATCGTGGGAGTTGCTTTCCATGTTTTTTCGTATTTGTTGATAGTACGCTTTATTTAAATATTTTTGTTGAATTTACCTAAAAAAATTCCGCTTTTGATTGCGATTGTATGAACTTTTTTCTAGCTTTTTGGTTTGGAAAGTTCAGTTTGTTGATTTTTTATTCTGCTTTTATACGGTTTTGCTCGTTTGGAATTCTAATCGTAGGAACTGTTTACCAACTCGTTTATTGTTTACTCGTCGGGTGGTTAAGTTTTTGGCTGCGATGTGTTTTTAGACGAGGAAGAGGACAACGGGACGCTATGGGAGTACAAATGGGAGAACAGCGACGCGGCGCCGACGCACGGGCCGTACTCCAGCGAGCAGATGCAGGCCTGGCAGCAGCAGGGCTTCTTCAAGGACGCCGTCTTCGTCCGCAAGGCCGGCGCCGTGGACGCGCCCTTCTACTCCTCCAAGCGCGTCGACTTCGAGCTGTACATGTGATCGGCTCTGGTTTCTTGCGCTTCCTCGGTAGCGCTTGCGCTGATTTGTTCTGCCTGCTGTGTTTTGGCGGGATTAATGTCGAAAGGCTTCTGTTTTCTTGGCAAAGTAAGCGCCAGTGTCCGCAGAATACGCAACGATGAAGAAGACAGGGATTTTACGGGGCAGTGCTAGCGTAGCCGTTGTGGGCTGTTTTTGAAGCGATTATGAACTGCGAAATGAAAAATCAGTTTTCATAATTAATTTTTATCTTCCGAATATTTCTACTGCTGCAGATTATAACGCGGGGCCGTATGGGCGCCACGCGTATCCTCGACAGCGAACAGCGGTGAACCCGGATGAGGCTTTATTGCCGAATCTAATGCGCACCGTGGCGCAGCAACACCAGACTAACGAGGAAGGATCCTGCAGCCAGTGCAACTGTACTGCAGATCCGTCAAAACAGCGCAGAAATGTGCGGGGTGGAAATCCCCAAAAACAGCGAATAGCTACTCAGGAGGGCGGAGCGTCCCGCCCTTACAAGATAGAAACCAAGAAATTTATTGGGATATTCAGTTATTGATGCATCTTTATTTTCCATTTATTGAATTGGTATTCTATATTTTGATTTGATCTGTTTTTCCCGCAAAAATTAAACAGTAATTCAAGAAATGGATTTAAATATTTCGAGCCATTGCAAATGCTTGAAACCCGGTTTGTTACTGAAAATTCTACATTAAACAACTGCAGTTTTCATTGCAAACCGTGAAAACGGGTTCAAGTTGATCTTTGGCTTCATATTAAGTACTCGCATGCTGGAAGCGCGGTTTGATTCTGAATTGATTTGAAGTTTGAAATGTGAAACGTTTGAAATTTTGATTCCAACTTAACTAACGGAGACTAGAAAGCAATACTTAATTTCCCTCACAGTCATTTTAGCGTTGGTCACTAAAACCGGGAACAGCCGGCGTCGCAGCATCACATACTTGGTACGCACCAGTTGTACAGAATATTGCTCGTTTAGCTACAATACGTCACCGGCACCGCAGATAGTGTGGAATGTGGATCAGCGGATGAGAGCACGTGGAGTGGCATGAACAAGAGCAAATCAATACCACACTGTAAAATCGGCAATCGATCCTACCTAAAACGATTGTAGTCAAGCTTCGCCAGCCGATGACAGCCATCATCAAGTTCAACCTCCATAGTGGACTGTAGTAAACACTGTACACCCGATTCCGTGGTGCTGTCGTTAAGATCGTGGATTCGCATGTACTTTGCGCGCTTTCTTGATTCGGTGAACACTTTACCGTGTTCGCACCCGGAAGACAACTTCACTTCTGGTTTGTTGGCACTTTTAGCCTTTCGGTTCATCCTCATAATATTACGTACCAGTACTCCCATAACTGTAATCACCCAAGTCTGGTAAATACTCTATAGTTTTAGCCTTCATTTTTAGGCACTTCGAAGTTCGAAGTAGACGACGGAGTCCATGTTTTTCATGGACGCTGCATGGGCTTGATTACTCATTTATAAATCATTCAACCAATCCCATCACCATGTACGCGTCACCATTATATTTCCGCCAATTCCACATGGACGCCCGCACGGTGAACTACGCCAACACGGTGCTGGTCCGCCGTAGCAACCGCCAGTGGTGGTTGGGCTACGTGCAGGACATGGACGGCGACCGTTTCCTTATCGACTTCGACGCCAACAGCCTGCGCCGCAGATGGATCCCCTCCCGCCACGTCTGGCCACACCCTCTCCTCAGGCGGTCCTTCCCATCACCGCAGGACCGTTCCGTCCACGTGGCAGTCCGGGAGGCGCCTGACGGCCCGATGGTCTTCCGCCCCGGGACCATCACCGACGAAGTGGCGGACCTGTTTCACGGGGTCTGCCTCCAGGGCGGCGACCCCACCGCCGCCGCCCTCATCGTCGACCAGTGCCAGTTCGTCAGCCGACTGCCGCGCCGCACCAGTCAGCGAAGCTTTGCCAGCGGAAATACGAACTTTGTCTTCCGGAAGCACGTCGTCGCCTTCGAGCAAGCGGAGGTATTGCGGGATGTGGCGCTCTTGCCGAAATTCGTGGGGCGGACGTGCCGGATCGCGCTGGGTCCGGGCGACACGGTGTGCGACACCAGCTGCCAGTTTGCCCGCTCGTGGGCAATTGGCTCGGAGACCTCGACGTTCCACTGTGCCGGACTGCATCTACCCACGCTTCCCACGGATGTCCGGGCGATCTATACCTTCAATGTGGGATGCCGGGTGTTTTTGCGCGGGTGGGTACCGGGACGGTGACCTTTGTGTCCGCGGAGGTGCACGGGAATGCCGCCGGACGGAGTATGTTCTGGACCGAGGAGGCCCTGCGGGAGGCCTGCCACGATTGCGTTGCAGCGCAACAGCCACGCCTACTGTCCAGTCTTAGCAGTGAAGATGGCGTAATGGACACTGCCCAATCTGGTTAGTGTTTACACCCGGTGCATGACAACAAATTAGTGTGCATGGTCGGATACGTTCGGTTTCGCGCGCAACATCCGGTTCGGATGTTATGGCTGTCAGAAAATCCAGAAAGTTTGAACGTATTTAGATATACGTACCAAAAGTCTCATTATGGACCGATATCTTTCAAATTTTGCACGAAAGCGCACATCGGCATAAAGATCGTTTTTACACCGAACCAGATTTCCACAATGTTTCTGAAATTTTAAAGCGAATTTCACAACTTTTTAAATTATTGTGAAAGCTGCAAAAAATGTAGGACGTAGGTTCGGTGTAAAAACGACCTTTATACAAATGTGCAACTACTGATGCTGGCAAAATTTCAAGCAGATCGGTTTATAATGAGGTTTTTGGTACACCTTCAAACCTTTTGGAATTCATTTCCTGCATAACTCCTCAACTATACCTGCCGCGCATTAACAGTTTTCTTGACAGTGTGTATACAAATCATTTGGCTACAGGATATCATAGAACAACGAAAACGTGTTTGAGAATACGGAAAAACGAAAGTTCGTGTGCATGTACAGTCTGTACACGCGTATGGTGCTTTATGTCCGACCAGTCCGGGTCACTTATGACGGAGGATGGGATAACGAGGCTATTCAGCTTATCAGGAACGCGCGGATAATAACAGAATCTGATTACAGTATTTGCAGACGAAGAAGCCCATATCAATGAGCTTCCATATACGATTCTGGCAGACATTCTGCTTCAAGGCGATATGTTTACTCAACAGTGTCTAGACCGGTAAGCCGTCATTTCGTTTTATCGAAACGCACACAACACAAGCACACAGGAACCTTTACATTCGCGTACTCACAAAATTGTTTTGCAATACCGCCTTAGTACAATTTACAGCATTAACAAATAGCAGGTGCTCTCGAGAGTTAGAAGAGTTATTTTTCTTGTTTTAATTATTGGGTTCTTAAAGTTTGAATGTAAATGGCATTGGCTTGTACAAGTTGATAATAATAATAAAAACAAATAGCAGTATATGTAGATACTACCCGGTAGGTAGCCCAAATGATTTATTTACAATGGCGTGAAAATTGTGTGTCCGCGAAGCATCCGATCAGGGTATTGCCTGCAGTAGAGAAACACAAGGAAACATAAGAAAACATAAGAAAACATAAGTCCTTAATTAACAAAAACACACACTTGGAATTTGAATTGGAATTTGAACGAAGAGAATTTGAATTTGATTTGATAGTTTTTGATTTGTTTTGATTTTGCTTATTATTTGATTCTGAACGGTGAGATACGTTGCGAGTCTCGTGACTACTATGGCTGATGCAGCCACTGGCAAAACTGAGGAAATACAGCCACCAGCCTTTCAGATTGAGTCGTTCTTCGAGGTATTCCCTGATGGCACCTCAGCGAACCAATGGTCCTTTGCCAAGCTAATTCCTCTGCTGCGAAAGCTTATACCAGCCATATACTTCGATCTGAATGACGTTCAGGAAAACCCTAATCCGTGTCTAACGCCAGCAAAAAATCTCATCGAAGACCATGTCCCACCGATGATAACCCAGCTTATCCAAGAACGGGTTCCCCTGCTGGTGACTGAAATTACTCAGGAAAACCAACGACTCAAATCGCAGCTATGTTCAGTGGAAGCCCAGCTAGCTGAAAGCCAGAAGAAATATGATGAACTTGCTGCGGTCGTGCGAGCCCTGAGTGACGACGTAAGTGCCATGAAAGATAATCAAGCAGCATCCTCCTCGGACACCGTCGGAATTGGTCGATTAGCGCTTCAACCCAATGGGTTTCGATCGGCCACGATGACACCCGCCAAGGAGCATGTTTGTGAGAGTTTCGACGAAAGTTTCCCTCCACTCGACAATCAACAAACCCACTTGTTAACCCCGGAGATTAAAGTCGTCCCCCCGTGTTTCGATAGCCCCCCTTCAAATTCGTCGGACACGCGGAACTCCTGGGCGACAGTGGCCAAAAGAAGAAATTGGTTCGCGGTACACGTGCTGTGCAGACTACAAACAGGGAAGACCCCGTGATGTCAACACTGCAGCTGAAACGCGTCACGAAACCTGACAGAGAGAAGGAGAAGAAAGATTTCTGTCTACATGGCATCCCCCTCTGGATCAGACCAAACATTTGTCACTTGAAGATTACGGCAAAGATCTCAAAAGTGTTATTGAATCGAACGGGATCTCAGTCAGATTTGTGTCTATTTATTCTGCTAAAAAAGGCCGCAAGAACAGCTTGTTTGCGCGTGTTGGTTCATTTGCTCATGAGTCAGACAAAATGTTTGCTCCTGAAAACTGGCCTCCTAACATCGGCGTGCGCGAGTGGTTGTTTGCCCCCAAGGAGGGCCAGCAGTGTCAGTCTGTTTTTACTGTTTAAATTTTGAATCATTTTAAGTAGTTTTACCTGCGCAAGCTCATTGTTACCTGAATTGGCCATTGCCGAATAAATAAGTTTAAGTCCTTTGATTAGGGTCTGCACTCTGTGGAGAGCTCTTTTGGACGATTACGCCGTGGCCCGACGGCGCCTCCGCGTTCTCGATATCTCACGGCTGCTCGCCGAAACCCCCGTGGACGAAGAATTCAACATAGAATGCCACTATCAAACTTACCAACTCGTGATGAAGCTGGACCGCAGCTTGACCGTATCGACGCAGACCCTAGCGTTAGTGGACACCGCGGGCTGTTTCGATCCAACTAAGAAGCTAGATGGGCGGGACGCAGCCGGACAAGCTCATTGTATGAAGAGGCACGATTTCTTCCACAGAATGAAGCTGATCCGTCATACGCTCAAAGCCCAAGATCATCGTGTCCCGCTGATCGTCATCAAAAACAGCGGCGATCTTCCGGAATGGAACTCGCTGTTGATGGAAATCGGGTACGAGGGAGATGAGACTGACCAGTGCGAGTGTCGTGCGCTACACAAGCGGATGGGTGCGTGTCAGCAGCTGCTGCTCGTCAACTACACCGCCGCCATTCCAAAAGGTATGCATAAGTCATTACTGGACAAGCTGTTCTATTTCGGTGCCGGCGACCGGACATGGTTGGAGGATGGGCACCGGGTGGAGGAGGGGGAGTATGAACGCGGCGCACATCTGCCGATCCGCATTCCCTTCCTGCGCTTCCACTCCACCGAGTCGGCGGTGGAGCAGTGCCGGTGTCTTATCGCGGCGGTCAATGACAACTGCCCGGCTGTCAGTCAGCCGATGCTCGGAAAGGTCACGGGAGTGTGGGCACGCTGGGTGCAGACGTTGACGTATCCTGACCAATGGACCGGCATTCGCATGTTCCTCAGCCTGTAAGTGCTGCTTGTTACGGACGTTATTACGAGTGGTTTTATCCAAAGGAGATAGCAAATACTAAACTATCTGCAGCAGAATAAATTGATGGTTGCTCTAAAAGAACTTTGGTTGCTCCATTTTAAACGCTGCGATGGCCATATAATTATCTGGCAATGTTCTACCGTTAGTAACACAAGTTTTTAAAGTTTTTCAGCAAAACATTGTTGTTTCATTCTAAAATTATTCCATTGACAGAAACTGTCAGTGAGTACCGTTATCGTGAACATCGAGAACATTCGCTTCGCTGAGCTCGATTAACGATGTAATGCAGTGGTCTTGTTTTTGTAATCGCAGGTTCAACAGTATTGGTCCGGATGGCCGTCATCATTCGTGGGATGATGATGATTTGAAACAGCTGAATGTGGCTGTGCTCAGCCGACTGGCCATGCACATTCTGGACGAATACTTCCAAGACTGATCGAGCAGACCAGATGCATACCACGGATAAAACCTACATGTTATTTAGGTTCCAAAAATGATCAACCTATGGTATCTGTTGGTTGTGCTTTTTATCCACTTAACGTCGAGGTATGGAGTGTTGAAAACCTTAGGAAAGAAAACACAGGAAACAGTGTAGCGCGGTGTTGTGTCTTCTGTTGTTTTTTTTGCAACAGAACTCCGCAGACGGCACAAACAAGTTGCTGCCGTATCTATCGACAAAATAGACGTCGTTTCTGTGTGCATAGGTATTTGTGCTTAGACTTTCTTTTGTCTGAGCTAGCATATTTGCTTTGCACATTATATGTAGATTCCGTGGGCCGTGTTGAGATTGTGACTGCATTTACGAGTAGTAATTTTCTGCATTTAGTATTTCAACATTTTAGCGCCACCTTGAATTCGAATGTACGCATGTGTTCAAGCGCGAGAGAACGATTTTCTTTATCTCTGCAGTTTCGTGCGAAAACATTGCTGGCAGCATTTGTGTACGTTTGCTGTTCCTGAGGTGGATATTATAATAATCGATAGAAGTATAACAATTTAAGCGGTTCTTGATGTACAGATAGTTGCACACTTTAACCGTAGCCGGCATCCTCCTATTGCACCACGTCGCAGCCTCTGTACTGACGTGACTGTATGAATCATAAACGACCGGCACCTCCGCTGCCGACTAACGCATGTGAGCATGCGGACGAGCACATGGAGCTGAACGAGCTAACATGAGCATCTCAATTTTTCAGCTTTACCGTATGTAGCCGCACAGTCGAACGGATGCTAACATATGACATACGTACCAGCATAATTTTTGTGCATTGATTTCCTCAAGAAGTTGAGACATGTTGTACAGGTACTAAACAATTACCTGTGCTATAAGGTGATATAACTTCGCTTTGATTATCCCCGTCTAAGATCTCACACCATGTATGCATCGCCCTTATACTTTCGGCAGTTTCCCGCCAACGCCCGCGAAGTGAACTACGGGAACACGGTGCTGGTGCAGCGCCACAACGACCAGTGGTGGTTGGGTTATGTGCAGGACATTGACGGCGACCGCTTCCTTGTCGACTTCGACTCGACCACCGACCCCGTCGAGTGGATCCCCTCTCGCCATCTCTGGCCGCACAATTTCCTCCGCCAAACGGGACCTTCCTATCGTGGCCGCTCCGTCAAAGTGGCACTGCGGGACGCCCCCGACGGACCGATGATTTTCCGGCCGGGGACCATCACTCGCGGGTTGTGTGACAATATGTTCAATGGTGTCCGCGTAGATGACGCTAATCCTGTCTGCATCGTCGATACGTGCCAGATCGTCACGAAACTGCCGACCCCCAAAAAGCCCAGTTTTGCCGAAAGCGGGACGAAATTCGTCTACCGGAAGCACGTCGTCGCCTTCGAGCAAGCGGAGTTATTGCGTGATGTGGCGTTGTTGCCGAAGTTTGTGGGGAGGGCGTGTCGCATCACGTTGGGTCCGGATGACACCGAGTGTGACGCGGACTGCCGTTTCATCCGGTCTTATGCTATTGGATCGGGGGACTCGAATTTCCACTGTCCCATGCACTTATCCCCGGCGTCCGCCACAATGTACTGGTTCGATGTGGGCTGTCGGGTGTTTGCGCGGGTGGACACGGGGACGGTGACGTTCGTCTGCGCCGAAATGCACCGGGACGCCGCTGTCGGACACAGTATGTTCTGGACTGAAGACGATCTGAAGGAAGCGTGCGGGGAATGTCTCGCTGCGCAACAATCGAAGCCAGCGTCTGCGCCTAGTATTCTTAGCTATAGTGAGTAGTAGTAGTATTCTTAGCTAACCAGATTGGAAGGCGTACTCACTGAGTACGCCTTCCAATCTGGTTAGTGAGTACTGTAATGTGGTTTCACGACGTAGATAAATTTTACTCCGATCAATCGGATGTAACCAGAATTTTAGTGTGAGAAAAGCAGGTTCGATAAGCGATTATTTTTGCAGATGACGAAGAGATGCATATCAATAAGCTTTCGTATCCGATTTTGGCGAACACTCTGCTGCATTGTGATATAGTTACTCAACTGCGGTTAAATCGGTAAGTTTATCGGTGTCCGGTGACCTGGTACATGGTATCACCGTAGCAAGTTGGTATGTAGTACTTCAATGAATGTATGCATGTACGTATCGTGATACGTACATGCATACGAAGTTTCGCGCAGTCCAAAATCCATTTTTCGTCTGATCTACTATATTCTCTAGCAAATTAATTTGCATGCATGGGCGTGAACACCGCTTGTACTGAATTTCAAAAACCTAAATTCCATTTTAAGATTTGCTAAAAACTGACGGAATTCTGATCTGGTGGACGAACGATTCCCAGTGTTCGCAGCTTCCGTTGCGCAGTGAAACTTTCAATACAATGTAATTGGCAAACACGTTTAATGAAATTTTGATGTTGTAAGTTATTGTATAATACGTTGAACTTCAGGTAAACAAAGATACAAATTATTGCAAATGTCCTTGATGCTTGGAATTTACAGGGTCTGCGCGTTATGGAGGCTTATTTTGGAAGAGTACGCCTCCGGAAAGCAGCGGCACTTGCTTCTTGACATACCGCGGCTGCTCGCAGAAAAGCCGGTAGACGAAGAATTCAACGCGGAACGCCACTATCACACGTACCGCCTGGTGACGTTACTGGATCGCAGTCTGACCACATCGACGCACACCGTGGCGCTGGTGGATACCACGGGACATCCAGTTAAGATCGATTTGTGGGACGCACCCAAACAGGATTATCTTAAGAAGAGGAAGGAGTTATACGACAGAATGCAGATAATCCGTCACATACTCAGAGCCAAAGATTATCGTGTGCCTGTACTCATTATTAAAGACAGTGCTGATCTTGCGGCACAGTGCCCGGTGTTGCTGGATATTGACAGCGTGGGAGAGGAGGACAACCAGTTCGAGTGCCGTGCGCTGTCCCAGTGGATGCGAGCGTGTCAGCAGCTGCTGCTCGTCAACTTCACCGTGGCTATTCCGACCGGCCTACGTAATTCCTTACTGGATGCGCCGTTGTACTTGAAAGCTGGCGACTGGGCCTGGCTGGAGGACGGATACCGGATGGTATCCGACCTGCAACCAGCTGCGCATCTGCAGATGAGCATTCCATTCCTGCGATTCTTTTGTACGGAGTCGGCAGCGGAACAGTGCCGGCGTTTGATCGCGGCAGTTAATGTTCACTGCCCGGTCGTTACTGGACGGATGGCTGAAAAGGTCACGGGAATGCATGGGCGCTGGGTGCAGACGCTGCACTATCCTGATCAGTGGACCGGCATCCGAATATTTCTCAACCTGTAAGTGCTGTTTAATATGTACGTGGGTGTATTAAGATTTATTTCTACAACGGTTATTTCGTTTTAAATTTGTTCCTTGACAACATCAATAAATACCGTTTTTCTGAACACAGAGAACCTTCGCTTCACTTTGGTCAATTAACGCTGTGAACCTATGATGTGGTGAGCTTGTTTTTAAATTCTAGGTTCAGCTGTGTTGGTCCGAATGGCCGTCCTCAGTCGTGGGATGATGTTGACTTGAGACAGCTGAATGTGGCTGTGCTCAGTCGTTTAGCCATGCACATTCTGGACGAATACTTCCAAGACTGATCAAGCAACGAAATGTAGACTGCATGCTACGGTTAGAACCAAGCAGAAAAGATGTAGCAAGCATGCTGCGGACCACAAACACCATGTTGGGTATGGTTGGGTACCTGGAACTATTTTACAGTTACCTATTTTCGCGATTGGTCAGTCTGGATGTTTGTTGCAGTGGCTGGAGTGGTCGGTTTACAGTTTACATTGATTACACCTGCAAGCCGCATGCATGCTGCCGGTGCCGGTTAGCCGGATGTGCGCATGTATGTTGGCGCGTGCCAGCCAGACGTCGCAACAGGATGGCGCCAGTCGCGTGGATCACTGATTCCCACCAATCCTAGCTTACCTAATTCACAGCTGCTTATGCGTTGTCATGTTTACATGTTTCTGAGTGAGAACCGATGAAAACTGTTACAATGGTGCACATAAGGAATGTGGCTACAGCAGCACGTAGGACCCGTCCCTAATAGGAAACGCCCATCCTAGTAAGGACTGTAGCC